CGAATCGCCCGTTGACGACGAAACCCTGCAGATCCACGAACGTCGGCGTGTGCATGTCGACTGATGCGAACGATATTTCGTGGACGTTTATATCGCACGCTTAGGTGATTTTACGCACAACGCTGGTCAGCGGGTTGTACTCGACCACGCGATCGTGTATGATGAGGCAGTACGCGGTGGTATTAGCGGGCGCGTTCTCCTTGAGTTCAAAGTCCATTCGCACGTCCACGGTCGCGCTCTTGACCGATTCGTTCTGTCGAGAGCAATCGATGATTACGAACGGGCCCATACGTTTAAAGGACGACACCGTGAGATTCGGTTCGAGATACTCGTATCCGTAGTAGCCCTTGCAGAAACGCGCGTACATGTCGTACAGAATCGCCCATCTGTTTCTATCGAAATCCAGATTCAAGTCGTCGTATGGGTAACATTCCGAGTTCAGATAGAGTTTCACGTTGGACAATTTGCAGTTGTCGAATTGGCTCGTGTCCTCGGACATCTTCTTTCGATCCGTTTGCATAGCAAAGATGACGTATCGCGGCTTCTCGAGCTGAGACGGCTGGGCCGTCTTGATGGCCCACGAGTGCTTGGTCGTGGCCTGCAACAGCGGGTACTCGTACAGATCCCACGAGCGAAAAGCCATGCTCAGGTATCGTCCGCCCTCCAGGGCTCGCAGCATCGACAGCTTGTTCACGTCGCTCAGCACCACGTGCGGCATTCGCCATTGTATCTTGAACAGTTCGAGCCTCGGTACCAACGCTGAATTTCCCACCAGACAATTCTCGTCGTTGCGCGCTCGTATCAGAATCAACTCGTGACGAGCGTTGATTCTGCACCACGCGTCTGTAATCCTCGCAGAATTCCAGCAGTACGTTGAGCGGTACGCAGAAATTAAAGTATCCGTCAGCGGTGGTCTGCGCGTCCCAGCCGGCGTTTCGCAGAATCACGCTCCTGTCGGACGTCACCGTCACGTAGTTCTTGATCGTGCTGGTTACGCCCACGTTTCTGTTGCGATCGATCTCCACGCCGTCGAGTTCGTAGCGAATCTCATCGAACATGAAAGCGAGGCAATTATTTCCCAGTGCCACGTCGGCGTTCGGTACCACTACATTCTTTGTCAATTTTCCTTTGATGTACAGAAAACTTTCATACGGCAGCGTGTACAGATCTTTTACCACTATACGTGTCCATTGTGATGCATCTGCAGGAATACTTGAGTTTACTCTCGAATTTATGCCCCACCCAACCATAGTCTGTTGCATTTTCGGAGTTCATACACTCGTCTCGTAATCGCGTGTACACTTCTCGTCGCGCGAGCAATGACTATTTGTAAGCGGGCCCTGTGTCAGCGATTCCCCATTTCACGACGCGATCACCGTGGAGCTCTCGATCGCGAATTATACGCACCGGCTATGTCCGCGCACTATAGTCTTCTCCCTGCGGATTTTCAAGAACGTATTTAACGTCTTCCAAAAGATCGTTGTACTCTTCCTCCCAAAACATGTTCATAAATTGTAATGTTTTTTTTTTTTTTACACAGTACAAATCGGGCACACACTGCACGGGAATACTTAGCACATCAGTTTCCGGTAATTGGAGCACGTTCGAGCGTCAAATACATCGATGAAATCGATGTTGTGCTTCCTTATCAGAAACATCGCACCAACGTCGGCATCAGCAATGTTTACCATGCGAGTGCACACAGGGCTAATGCGCCGCCTGTCGAATAGTAGCACTGGATCTGACAATGCTTCACGCGAAAAACACACAATGCCCGGATTTGCGCGTCTGATATAAGTTTTCGCACACAATCGGTATTGTTCTCCAGATCGCTAATGCACCCCGTATCATCCGATAACACACTCTCGTCGGACGACTCAACTTCCATTAAGTCTTCGAAGTTTACATCTTCTAGCACTTCGTCAACGATCATCCCGACATCGTCGGGATCCATAACTTGGATATCGTCGACCACTCTGTCCATTATAATCGCGCATCTTCGCACGATCGATTCGCGACACTTAATGAGGCGCAACGCGCTTACGACTCATTACATATTTCGTTTGCAGCTTCTTTGTACCTTTGTCTATCCCTACTGACCTCTCAGTACGCGTCTTCCTAGAAATGTATCTTCAAAGAAAGCGCTGTGAGAACACATATTAATTTAATACTTGTTTTCGCGCGACAGAGTTCAGCAGCCATCGGCGGCTTTTGAAAATGTATCCCGACGGTTAGGGCGAGGGGGCGGCGGCGCGATAAAGCGGCTCGGCGGTTAGGTCAGCGGCGTGATAAGGCGGCTCGGCTCAGCTCCCCCTCCCCTCCTCCGTACCTTCCCCACGCCCCGCACCCCCCTCGGAGTTCCCGAGTTAGAATCGACCTAGTATATCTACTAAAAAATGTTATATAAATTTTACTTACTCATTGCAGCGGCAGCACTAACCCCCTTTCTCTCTTCCCCTAAACATCGTCCGATTCATCCTCCTCGTCCATTAGGTGCACGAGGAGGTGAAATAACTCCACCTCATTGTCCACCTGCAGGTAGTGCATAACGAATCGGATGAGGTCGTCGGGGTCGACCTCGTTTAAATCAATCGGAAGGGGGGGAGGATCTTCCTCTTCCTCCTCCTCGTCGACGTTTTCCTCATCAACGTCCTCCTCGTTGTTGGTATCGTTGTCGTTGTCACCGTTGTTGTTGACCACCTTCTCCTCTTCCTCCTCAGGAAGGGGTGTAGAAGGGGGTGTAGGAGAGGGTGTAGGAGGAATGATATCCTTCTCAGGAGGATCGTCTTCCACCTCCACCTCCATCGCCTCCTCTTCCTCGTTGTCAAAACATTTTTTCTTAATAGCCTCTAATTGCTTCATTTTTGCAAGTGTTACGTCCAAGCTCCGATTCCGGGAGGAGCTGCGGAAGGGCGCAACGAACTCTGCCCGAGATTCGTTCACGCTCGATCCCCAAATTTCGAAAGGGGCGACGGAAGAGCGTCACCGAGTTCGGGCTCTCGCAGGTACACATCGTGGAGTGTCCTGCGAGTCGATCGTACCTTTAAATGCTCCGGAAAATGGGTCAGTGTCCCGAAAGAGACACTATGACGCCTCTTTCCGTGAGCGGCAACGATATTTAATTCAGGTCAGGGAACTTAATCCCTATGACCAGGGCGTGGACCTGTGCGATCTTAAATGTTACGGGAAATGAGGAGGAATACAAGAAGGATTAATAAATAATATTTAGATGGTTTTTACATTTTAAAATTACATTTCTTATAGATTTATTTAATACTATGATAATATAATAAAAAAACATTATAAACAAGAAAATACGAATACAAAATTACGAAAATGTGAATACAAAAATACGAATTGATTATTTCTAACTTAAGGTATTAATAACAAATATCGTGTGAGTGTGAGTGTGGGACGGGAGAAGAGAGAGAGAGGAAGAGGAGTTAGGAGAAGTTTCCTTGGCAGGAACAGGGGACGGCGAGTCGGATGGCGTCCAGGCGAACGAAAAAGGGGATGGAGATTCCGGGGAGGTATATGACAATTTCGCAGTCTGGGGAAACGGTGGTAGTAACAGGGGGAGGAAGAGTCTGCTCAGGGAAGGAGGTGGTAACGGGAGGAAGGAAAGTCTGCTCGGAAAAGGAGGGGGCGACGGGAGGAAAGAAAGTCTACTCGGAAAAGGAGGGGGTGACGGGAGAAGGTGAGTGTAGTTCTGTGAACGGAGGGGGAGTGGGAATCTCGTGCACGGAAAGGGGAGGGAATGACGGGGGAAGGTGAGTGTAGTTCTATGAACGGAGGGGGAGTAGGAATCTCGTGCACGGAAAGGGGAGGGAATCTCTCGTGCATAGGGAGAGGAGAAATCGAGGGGGAATCAATTAGAAGCGGGAATTTGGAGAGATCTAAAGGGAATTCTGAGGGATCGACGGGGGAGTAGGAGGGTTCGGGATATTGTACGTGTGTGGTGGAGTGTGTTTGTGTCGTAGAGAGACTAATAACGAGCATTAGAGCGTTCACACCAGACGCTAGCGGAATATCTTCGTCATTATATAAATAAGGAACAGAGTGATTGGGATGAGTGGCTACCATATACGCAATGTTTACGTACAATACAACACCGCATACAGCCACAGGATATACACCATTTGAATTGGTCTACGGACACGAAGCTACTTTACCAACATCACTAACGATACCACCAAAACCATCATATACGTATGACGACTACGCTCAAGAATTGAAAGAACGATTACGAGCAACGAATCAAATAGCAAGAGAACACATAAAGGAAGAAAAAATCAAGGCGAAAAAATATCACGATAAAAAAACCAAGGAAGTTAAATTCAAAATAGGGGACAAAGTACTTCTATATGACGAAACTCTCCGTCGCGGACGATCGAAAAAACTAAACGCGTTATGGACCGGACCATACGTAATTTTAGAGAAAAATTCCGACGTTAATTATACTATAAAAATTGCGCGGAAAATACTCCTAACACACGTAAACCGCTTAAAAGCATATATAGAAAATTAAAAATAATATTAAAATTAAAAGGCAACTATAAATATAAATATAAATACAACTCATCAATGAAGATAGATAGATGATAACCCAATAATAATCCAAGTGGGATAAACAGAATATAAACTACACTACACTAATAACTATGTACACTACACTAATAAAGGTTAAAATAACAAACTAACACTAAACAGTTAATATAAGCTACTAAAGTTAAAATAAGTTTACTCGGTGGAAGGACCAGGTCGTGGATCATCAGGAACCATATGACTACGACCGTCAGCGTCAAACACGAGACGACCTTCCCGCATAAGTCCATGAAGGTTCTCACGCATAATTGCAAAGCGGCCACGGCCGCGACCGCCTAAACGGAGGAAACCCTCCCGATTCATCCCTTCCGGGATTTCACCGCGACCACAACCACGACCGCGACCGCCTATACGGAGGAAACCCTTCTAATTCAACCCACCCAAGGGTTCATCGCGACCTCGAACACGACCGCGACCGCCTATAACACGGAGGAAATCCTCCCGACTCAGTCCACTCAGGGGTCCGGCCTGACCGCGACCAGGGTTTGCAGGACCGGGAATATCAGGAACCCAATCTACCGTGGGTGGCTTGAAGTGGGCCTCAATATCCGGAATAATTTTTCTACACATTACGAAACAATACGATCAGAACGCAAACGGATTGAAAGACACCTGCTAAGCGACTGACGAGACCACACGCATATAAAAACCTTCTCACGAAAATCTTCCTGACGAAGACAGTAATAAAATATGATAACGTTAAGATATAAATGTAATCGGACGAAGGGAGAAGTCACATAATACACATAGGGAAAGGCGTATCAAATAGAGTTAAGCCAGAAACACATAGAAAAACGTAAGGCCGTAAGACGAATCAGTAAGGAAATCGTAACATTGGATTCGCTATCGGCCTTACGGTCTCTACTGTGATTGGCCAATTCGCTTACTGATTACGTTTACGGCCTTACGTTTTTTTATGTGCCATGGGTTTTAGAGTAGAGGTAGCAGGCCGTTTCAAAGCCACGGGGCTCCGAGGGGGGGTGAAGGGCGAGGGGAACCCGTGGCGCGGAGGGTATGATGTCACGGGAGGGGAGGGGGAGCCGAGCCGCCTTACCGCGCGGGCCGCCGCTGCCGCCGCCGCCGCGCCGTCCCCTCGCCCTAACCGTCGGGACCCACCGCCGCCATGTCGCGATAACGCTGGCGCAGCGCGTTATACCGTGCGAAGGATGGATGGATGGAAGAAAGGTGAATAACAGAATAATCTGATAGTATATAATATTAGGATTTAATTAAAGTGAAATATACATGTGTATGTGTGTATGTGTGTGTATGTATGTGTGTGTGTGTGTGTTTTTAGCTTGAATATAATATAATGAATATAAAGAATATGAAATGAATATAAAAATAAAAGAATATAATGTAATGAATACATATAATATAATGAATACATCTAATATATAATGAATATAATGAAAAATATATAAAAATAAAAAAAAACTTCTTTTCTTTCTGAAACAGAAACAAAAGATATATATTAATATAAAATAGTTTAAGAACAAAATATAAATTTAAAATATACTCACAGCCCCAGTACTCTGGTTCGGGGTACACCTCATAATCTGCATCCCCGAATAGCTCGGGGAGGTGCAGCGTTTCCTCCCACATGAGGAAGGCGTCCTTCTCTCGGCACCACCGCCGCTCCGCCCGAACGAAGCGGCGCGTAGCTGAAGCAATTCAGAAAGTAAAGAATGAAGAGTGAATCGCTTGAGGCGTCGGACGCTGAAGCAATTCAGAAAGTAAGGAAAAAGAGTGAATCGCTTGAGGCGTCAAACGCTGAAGCAATTCAGAGGAAGACAGGGTAAATCGTGAGTGAAGAAAAAAAAGGAAAAGAGAGAGATATTGTATTTGGTCGAGAGAAATAAAAATAATAATAATAAAAAAAATTAAAATAAAATAATATTATAAAAAATTTAATTTTCTACCTTTATATAAACTGGAGTAAAGTGGAATCCTTTAAGCGATTGGAGGGCAGGTGGACAGTCCGTAGGGGCTTTGGCAGGCTGATGGTTTTCACTCGCCAAGAGAAACTCCGAAGAAATTGAATTTTGGAACAACCGAGTAAACTGTCAACTGCTGGATTTATGAATCAGAATCTAACTGTGTGTCTGAATCAAATTGCCGAACTGAACTGTCGAAATCAAGAATCAAAATCGAACTGCCAGTGGGCATCGTGGAGGGCTTGTATTTATACTACTTACGGAGGGCAGCATGCCCTTCTTTGTTTGTGGGAATCGGACTTTGGACTTTGATCTTTGGACTGGTGTCTTCCGGGAAATAGGAAAAATTTAGGTCAAATGGATTTATGTGACGTGTCATCATCATTTTTCAGTAAATTAATTGCCTATGGGTCAATCCTAGGCTTCGCCCTAGCGACGAATGCTTTTCAGCGTCAGCTTTCCTTTGTCTACCATTTAGTGCATTACAACGCCCGAACAGACACCGAGTGCCTTCGTCTACGGGCATTGCATCACCCATTCGTTTTCATATTTGTTTACTTTATATCTTTACTATATCTTTACATTAAAGTTTACTATATCTTTACATTAAAGATCTAACCGTATCAACCTCCTATTTCATTGCTTGGAGACGGTAGCTTTTATTTAAGAAACAATAAGTGTGCGTGTTTGTGTGTGTCACGTCCGGGGTAAATAACTTCGTGGCGAAGGAATTCGCATTTATCTGGTTGCAATGTCAAATTAGCATCTCTCAATTCTTTTATTCATTAATTTATTAATTTTAATTTCATGCTCTCTTAATGAGCTAGCATATAATACTATATCATCCATGTATACAAATAATTCGATTCCTTGTAATCCGGTTAAAACGTTATCCATTAATCTTTAAAATGTCGCTGGTGCATTTTTTAAACCGAACGGCATTCGTACAAATTCAAAGTGTCCAAAAGGAGTGGAAAATGCTGTCTTATGCGCATCGGCGGGATCCATAGGAATTTGATGGAATCCGCTCGCGAGGTCAAACACGGAAAAATATTTAGCACCCCCCAATTGGTCGAGTATATCACTAATATTTGGTAGCGGGTAAGCATCTGATCCTACCCGTTTTTTCATTTAATTTCCGATAATCAATAACCATACGCCATCGTTTATTTCCTAGCGAATCTGGTTTTTTAGGTACTATCCACACGGGAGAATTAAAAGGCGAGACAGAGCTTACAACAATTTCTTTTGAGATAAGTTCCTGTACTTGGTGCGTTATTTCGTTTTTATGAACGGGACGAAACCTATACTGCTTGCTTTGTATCGGTAATTCGTCTGTGGTAATTATTCTGTGTGTGTTTATATGTGTTCTATCGAGATATTCGCTCGGTAAATGAAACCTATCGCTGTGTAATGTTATTAAACCTATTTTTAGATGACGATGTCGTCATCGTTGACGAGGTGCGCGTCGTCAACGATGAGAACGACGTCGTCGTCGTCGGCGAGATGGACGTGAATCCTCCCCCGATTGACCAGGTGCTAATGCACCACATGCGGGTGGGTACCGTTGAGGAACTCCTCCACCTCCTCGGGAACTTGCATGAGGAGTGGCGATAGGCCGTCGAGGGAGGAGGAGGGAGGGTTGCCACTGCTACCACCGATGCCGCTATGTGAGTACAACATTTTATTAATTTGATCCTTGCGGTCGTCGCGACGATGATGTCATCGCCTGCGCTCGGCCGCGGCGGCGGCCTTTTGTAACGGTATCCTTAGGGGGGTAAGTTGCAATATTTCATTAGTATTAATTCTTATATTATCTTTTATGCAATTTCTTTTTATTATATTAGGTTGCGCGCCCGTGTCTAGCATGAAAGCTACGGCGGCTCGCAAGGAGGCTGATCTGAGCTCGACGACGGATACATCGCCGGTATCGGGTCGGAGTAGGTATAATCCCCGGGCGTGCACTCGAGTGGGAGGACCGGACGAACATTTCCCCTGACCTCGGTTGGTCCCGCTGGCCGAGGCCTCGAATCGGTTTCCCGCTGCAGAGTAGATAGTCTACACCGATTCAAACCCATGGGGCAATGAGGGGGGGTGAGGGCGGGGG